TCGGGATTATAACGCGTGTATTAGTGAATTTATCTGTATTTTCTTTGAATTTTGCGAAGTTAGTGGATGCTGGATTACGTAGCCGAAGAAGTGCAATCGATACCGACAAGTGGAAGAAGGAAGATGCGTGAGTCTGTGCTCCTTGCGTTCACTGCGGGCTTCCATGTGCCAACTTTTCAAAATTCATAAGGCACGCGGTGAATGCCAAGAGCGGACCAAATTCAACGTTTTACGCTTCTCGACGCGATCGAAGATCTTCGGACTCGTGCGATACGCGTTAACCTTGCGACAGGTCAGTAAACCTCGTCTACGATTTTACGTGTTCTCTCCCTCGAAGTAAATTCAGATCGTGTGATATTACGTTCGAAATACACGTTTGAAAATGTTTTGAGTATGCTGGTAATGTTAGGACACCTGTATTTTGCATTCCTGCTAGAATCGTAGTGCGTAGAACGTGTAGACGATCATGTGCAGGTTCAATACTTTTGTACATATGCATTTCTTTGTAATAAAAAAGAGACTCCGCTATTGTTATGTACCTCTCATTTATCCATCTCTTTACCGGGTCAGAATCCTCGTCTTTCCTATCCTTCGAGAATAAAATCTGAAGCCGAGGACATAATTCGACCGATCGAAGCTAGCAATCGTTTTAAGTGTCCACAAGGGTCGAGAAAGGGGGAGGCACCCTCAAAAGGACCTGTTTCAAGGATTATTTCAGATTTATTTAAAAACAAGACTATTATTATTAAAAGGGGAATTAAATGACATATTCGTTTGCCAAGATTTTTATAGCTTAACCGTGAAAATATTTTATTAAACTTCGATGACGTTGCAAATTGACTAAATTACAATTACTGCCTATTTCAAGGATTATTTAAAATTTATTTAAAAACGAGACTATTATTAAAAGGGGAATTAAATGACATATTCGTTTGCCAAGATTTTTATAGCTTAACCGTGAAAATATTTTATTAAACTTCGATGACGTTGCAAATTGACTAAATTACAATTACTACCCATTTCAAGAATTATTTAAGATTTATTTAAAAACAAGACTATTATTATTAAAAGGGGAATTAAATGACATATTCGTTTGCCAAGATTTTTATAGCTTAACCGTGAAAATATTTTATTAAACTTCGATGACGTTGCAAATTGACTAAATTACAATTACTGCCTATTTCAAGGATTATTTAAAATTTATTTAAAAACGAGACTATTATTAAAAGGGGAATTAAATGACATATTCGTTTGCCAAAATTTTTATAGCTTAACAGTGAAAATATTTCATTAAACTTCGATGACGTTGTAAATTGACTAAATTACAATTGCTACCTATTTCAAGGATTATTTAAGATTTATTTAAAAACAAGACTATTATTGAAAGGGGAGATTAATTTACTTAATTGACATACTCGTTTCTCAAGATTTTTATAGCGGCTTAACAGTGAAATTTATTAAACTTGGACATTGCAAATTGACCAAATTACACAAATAGACTAAATTACATAAACAGACTAAATTACATAAATAGACTAAATTACACAAATAGACCCGAAGATCAAAATGCGTGCTAGTCATAAAAACTTTCGTTTGCCCAAAAGTAAAAAGCAAATAGATTCGCATCCCCTTAAAGTCACCCCCTAAATTGGGGAATTCCCGTGCGACGAAAACGGCTGCTTGTATCGACCGAGTACTCCTCATCCGAACGGGCAAGCAAGGGGTAGAGAGGGGGTGTACGAAGGTTTAAGGGTGGACGTACGTTGCCTGGCAACCCATCCCTTCTCGCAGCATCCCCCGTGGACCGCCTCGACTTCACCGACGATGTTACCAATACCACCGATGCATTTCCACGTCTACCAACCGCGACGAGGACGATTCTACCCCCTCGTTCTACCCGCACGTTTTCAACCCCCGTCCTCGGAAACGTCTCTGCTCTTTCTTTTCCAGAGAACGTCCAACACTCCACGCGGCTACCTCCATTATTCAGGACCGATGCTCAACCACTGTCCCTTTTCGCCCGTTTCCTCCTCTGGCCTCTGGGATCCGCTTTTTTTTCTTTCCAGCTTTCCACGGACCGTCACGGATCTTCTACGGATAATGGACGTCTGAGCACGCAAATTAGGGACTCAGGGTTGAATTACCAACGAGCTTTTTCTTTCGTTTACTGTAGAATAGAGTAGACAATTTTTGGGGTTGAAGTTTACGATGTATTTTAAGGCGTGTGCAATAATTTTAGAGACTCCTGCCTCGACTGAACTTGTAAGTTTGTGCGACGTATTGAATTTTTTGTCGATCGTGATGTATGAATCTCTAGCAAGTAGCGTTAGTTCTACTTTAGGTTGCCATAAATGACCGATTACAACGCTGATCAAATTTTGAGCTTCCAATGCATTGAATCGCTTCAAACTTGTATCTACAAATCGGCCATTTGTCACGATGTATCAGGTCATTTCATAAATAATAAAAATGTAAATTTGCAAACTGATTAATTAAAAGATCAACGATCATTTTGTAAAATGTATTAACGTGCACGTAACATTATTCATGGAATGACCCAACAGTTTATTACGAGCAGGGTGTATGACCATTTAATTATAATACGCGACGACACACGTTCGATTGCATGATGTAATGTTGTTTGAATAAACGAGCATATACGTAACAAACTCATCACGTTTTATCAGTGATTCAACGCGTCAAAACGATCGAAACCTCTCCCACATTACGCAATTATCCCTTCTTCACTTTATTTCCTTTTTGATTTCCACTTAAATGATCAGTCATTTGCGATGATTCTCTTAAAAACAAAGTCTTCTAACTTCAATAAATTCTTTCATTCTAACTTCAATAATAATTCATAACCTACAATAATATGTTAAATAAAATATTGTTTAAAATACATGAACGACTAAAAAAGGAACTGTCAGATGTACGAAAAAACCTCGAGTAGCCCTCATTGAAAAACATTCAGGCTGCATAAATCGATGGTTCGAAAAGGAAACAGTTGCATAAAGTCACCTAATTTGCAATCAACGAGCATCAGAGTTTGCGGAGGAACGTGTCGACCGAATGAAATTTATTCCTCGATCGTGAAAGGGACGAGGAGGGTGAAACCCTCCCTTTCTGACGCCTCTTGTTTCGCGTGTCCTCTTTACCCCTGCCTCTTCCTATCGGTAAAGTGACCTTCATCTGAATTTCTCTGTCGCGTCTCGTGCCACGAGATCGAGCGAATTTCGAGGGTGGCCCGAAATGGCCTTACACATTTATCGGACAACCTTTGTTTCAATGCTACGATATTTCATCTTTTGACAGTAATAAAGATATAGGTTTCTATAAAAACTTAATAGGGTGTTTTAATTACATCCTTTAAACTTCATCCTATCAAGATGAATGAATATTTATGTTCCCGAACGCGTTCTAACTGCGTTTGCCAATTGCGAGTCTTACCGTTTCCGTTCGGAAAACCGCGTAATCATAAACCGTGCTCGTCTATAATTCAAGGTATTGGTCGCGACGAAACCCAGCAGACTCCCGATAGCCACGGAATGAATAATCGAGAAGAACCGAGTCTAAATTTGGATCGAAGCTCCCTCAGAAAAATAAACTTGCGCAAAATTTCTGATCCGTAGAGAAAAAAAAATCATTCGATCCTAATCCCGTCACCTCCGCAGCGACACCGTTTTTCTCTCGGCTCTGAAAGCACTCGAAACGCGCAAACAGAAGGAACCTATATAATGGAGACGAAGAAGAAACCGTGGAAAAAGGTGGAACCGTGGCAGAAAGGGAGAAGGAGTCCAAGGGAGGACAGGGAAAAAAAGAAAACGAGAGAGAGGAAGGCGAAAGAACGAAGACAGGAACGCGATGAAGAGGATCGAACGCGAGCAATGGCAAGGGTAGACAGAAACAGGGTGGGAGGAGAGAATCACGTGGGAAAGGGGAAAAGCCGAGATACGGGGAGAGATCAATACGAGGTCGCTAGGCAACGAGCCTCCGGCGATCTCGGTCCGGGTAGACAGGGTGCCGCCACCAACCCCTGAAGCTGGGTGGCTTCATGGCTGGTGGGTACCCACCCCCTCAAAACCTGCTACCTCTTCCTTCTCTTTCGATACAGGGTGTCCGTCCTATGAGACGCACAAACGATTCAAATAACACTGCCGATAATTAAAATCCATGTGCGTCCACAACTTCAACAATTCCATCGCTGATCTCTCAAGCTCACAATCATCTCTCAAGTTCACAATCATCTCTCAAGCTTGCAATGATCTCTCAAGCTCACAGTGGTCTCACAAGTTTCACAAGCGACTCCTCGCCGTTTCAAATATGCGCTCTAAAATTATTATTCTATTTGTACCTAAAACAAATTTCGAACGGGGGAATATTTAAAACTTTATCTCAAGTCATTGACTACGAGATTAATAGATTTTTCATCGTTAAAGTGTTCCACCCTGTACATCTAACGCACCTCTCGTACCCGTTTACTCCTCCTACTGTTTTTCCATCCCGCTCCCATCTCCGCTCCTATCTCCTGCCTTCGAAATCTTCTGCATCTGGCTTACCGATACAACTTGCAATATTTACGATAAGCGCTCGCAAAAAGAATTTCGATCCGTCGATGATATCGAAAATCGGTGGCTCCTCTTTCTCGCACGGCTGTTTTAGACCGGAGGTCGTTTGAAGATTTTTACAAAGACGCTAGACGCCCGATTGAACCCTGTCAGACTGCCTGGGTGACCTGGATGTATCGCCACCTGTTGTAGTGCCATTCTTAGGTGTTCAAAGGTTTGTCCGACAAATTTTGCCCATACAAAAATCTTCAAAATCATCAAGGTAACTCATTGTGACTTCGAAATCATTAGGCTCACGATTTGTCAGGTTTACTTTGTACGAAAGCGTGATACTCTTAAATCTAGATAACTTTAAGAATGTATTAAATTAAGTAAATTCATACTGTAAGATGGTTTAATAAATGTAGAGAGAATAAATATAAAATACCCGTGTTTCTAAAATAGCTAACGAATAGAAACGTTGTTGGAAAGAAATCGGTTTAATCGGACAATTGGCAGAGCATGGCTACGCCTCGTAGAACCCAGTGGTCCGGCGGATGGTCCGTCGGGACCCATATGGCGATTACGAAGTTGGTCGAGTGTCCGGTCGTCGACAAAACACCTTTTCTCTCGGTGGTCTTGTATACGGGACAGGTGTAAGTGTGTCTGTCTACCACGTCGTCCTTTTTCGTTGGTATCATCCAAATCTGCCGAGAAGAACACGCTTGATTTTTGCTCCAGGAGAACAAATTGTGTTGAGACAAAACTTCATTACTTTGGCACACAGATTTCTTTCTATTTAGTACATACCCTTAATCGTTTAAAAATTTATCACATCTTTGATTTTAAACTTTGACAATAAGCTAGAAATGTACCACATAGCAAAGTCTTGTTTCAACCTTAGAATTTTTCAAGAAACTCGATGATTTTCTTGCAAATAAACTCGTACGTCTGTTATCGAGAATGTTCGCAGGAAATCGTAAAACGAATACTCACATAGGGAACAGTATCGTACAAAATCTTCGGCAAGGACTCGTCGAGTTTCATCGTCGTCGTGTTGAAACGAGCTCCGTCGAGGAACAAACCGTAAACGTACACTCCATCGGCCGGTGGTTCCTCGAAAACGGTTTCCTTCAAGGGAACGAAATCGTAGATAAGCAGATCAATGGGTATCGAGTATTTTCTCGCATAATTCTGGCGTGCGCCGGTGAGGAACGCTTGAGTGAAGTAAAAACCGGAGATCCAGAAGGCTGTTGGCGGTCCTTCGTCGTACCACAACTGTAAATCGAATACATCTTTAATTCCTTTTAACGTTGCAACAGAAGAAAAAATACCTGAAGAAAGTCGAGCCTCCTCAAGAAGTCCTGTATGTAGCTGCCTAAAGGTTTCAAAGACGGATACGAGTTCCTCATCCACATCTTCGGTATTTTTCCAGTGATTATCGACACGTACACCTCCTCGAGGTCCGAGTTCATGATCACCAAACCTTAGATTAAGTTCATCCGAGCGTGAAAAATCGATCGGGGCTCTCTACCGCCGGCTATACCTTTGATCGCTTTCTGAACGTTCACCAGGCTACTCCTGATCGTTCGCAGAAGCTTGTTGAACCTTCCCATTTCTTGTACCAACACCGTGTTCATGCTTTGATTGTACAACGTCGGATACTTCTCCAGTGCAACGATCAGGTCGAAATCGTCCGGTAACCTTGACAGAATATCAGACGCCACCCCGTAGACGGTCTCGTCGGGTGATTTTCCTGTGTCTGTTTCCGTTTCTCCGGTGTCCTAATTGGAGGATATAGAGAGAGGAAGAAAGAGACGCAACACAGGGCCTCGTTAGTCGTCGCACGGAATACATTTAAGGAATCCCATTATGTTTGTGAAACACGACGCGTACGCGTACACCTAAATTGTCTCGAAATTAATGAACGAAGATAATGATAACGACTCGACCGTGTTACCGGCACCTAGATTCTACGCTTCTCGCCTAGAAAGATGAGCACACTTTTTTAACCAAGTCCTATATATAAACAAACTGTTTTACCTTCTTTTTACTCCGTTTTGGAGACGAAGATACTGACAGACAAACTAATATATACAGTAAAATATTGCCAGGCTACTTACTTTGAATTCCCCGATACACTATGCAATTACATTTTCGTTATTTATAAAATCAATTTTCCGTTCAGTGAGTCGAGAAGTTTTCTCACCTGAGTAGCTAATATCGATGATAACATTAAAGTAGTTCCTTGCTGATCCTTGATGATGTCAGCGTTCTCGTTCATCCCGAAGACGCTGGGCGCGGTGGCCATCGGAAAAGATTTAACATACTCGAGAAACTCGCTGTGTGCGGTAACTTGAGGCACAAAATATATACCGCTCGGGTCAAAGAGGTATTTCTCCGTCGCGATCACCTCCGGGCAATAAAATTTCGAGAGGATCGTGACCAAAGTTCTCCTGTCCCACTCGTCCGTTACACGACCGCCATAATTGCACTCGCCTGAAATTATTAAATGTACGAAGAGTTCCGAATAATTGGACTTAAAATTGTGTTCGAAAAATACAAGTCGGATACCAGTCAGGTATTTCAGAGCAGTGAATTGAACATCGTCGTATTGGTCCAAGAAGATCTTCAACTGCAAGGCGCTGATACGCAAATCAGTCTCGTTGAATTCGTACTGATTGTTCCATCCGATGGGTCCGAATTTCCTTCGTTCCTGGACGATCGCGTGGAAGAAACACAGGGAAAAGAGCAGCTTCTTAAACGTCTGCTGCTGATGAGATGTCTCAAAGAAGTCTTCGTCGCATATTGGATCCTTTCAGTAACAGGATTACGATTTTCAATCTCGCCGTACGATTCTATCTTACCTTTTTCCTCCGATTACCTGCAAGAACGACCTGATTATGTTCGCTCGCAACCCCATCGGTGGCTCGTTCGTCATTTTAACACCGTTTTGAAGCACGCTGACTGGGAAGTGGTCCACGGGATAACTCGTCAACCATAATCGAAAATCAGGATGCACAGATTCCGGGGTGAAGCTCTCGCAAATCTACATCAAAATGTTTCTGTCAGCTATCGAGTTAATAATCGAGTAAATTATTTACCCTTTCCAGCTGTGGCATGAAGCTCTTGGCAAGATGACAATTCTGTAGAACCACCCAGGTACCATTTTTCACGCCCTCGTCGATAAGCTGAGCGGCGATAACTCCTTGTCCTTGACCCAAAGACAGAGAGAAGAGTCGGTTGGTACCGAAACCCTGATCGTCGGCGAATTTCAGTAGAATCGCCATGGGATCGGCGCCAGGCGTCAGCACGAATATGAGGGGAATACAGGAATACGAGTCCGCGAAAGATGACACGAGATCGAAGGGCGGTACCTCGACGTACTGTCGTCCCAATTGTTCTAAAACGTGCAAACACTCGTCGTAATAAATCGGATTAATTTTTATATATACATCAAAAAGAGTTGAAGCTTTTGTCGGCTCGTACAAACGAGTTCTTTTCACCTTCTACAAATTGTTGGGCGGCAGGCACGACTTTGTCAAGGCGAACACATCTCAGCACGAGCATCCTCTCGAAAGGGGTGAGGTTCTCGTAAGGCTCGGGAAAAGGCAGTGTGTGCGGCTCCATATGATCAAAGACGACCTTCCAGCTGTTTATGTTTTTCGTGAACGCGTCTTTGAATCCCTAAACACGGAAAGCTTCAGAAGCTCGAGAAAAATGTTGAAAAATTTCTATTTATACCTCGAAGCCCGGGACAAAGTTCAAGCGACATAATTCGTCCCAAGATTTCGCGGGCAGCCAATTCGTCGGATTCGCAAAAGGATTCTCAAGGCCAACGCCTCCGGTCAATAAGAACATCCATTGAGGAATCGAGATCGCTCCCTGCTTGTTCAGCAGGTTCACCGAAAGCAACACCGAGAATAAAAGCTTGTCCTTCTCGAACAACGATCGACAGATGTTCACGTAAAGGGAGTACGTGAAGTGTTTCGTGAGGTCCTTCAGTCGTTGCGCTATATCCTCCACAGGATCCGTATTATCGATCGTCTGCTTGAAGAGATTCACGAACCAGACCAAGGAGTATTGATACATCGGATCGATGTTCGCTAACATGGCTACACAAAATTATATCGTGACTTGAACGATCGATAATTATTCAGAATTTAATCGCAGGTTAAAGATTTGCGAATACCAATAGTAAAGAAGAGAACAGTGCTATAAACAGCGATAGGAGTGTACTCTAATCTCGCAGCGTCGATAGATTTTTCAGTGACTTCTGCAACCGTTTGCTTAGCTAGAATTTCGTCGGACAGCGTCTTCGAGGAGCTCAATACGCTGATCGCAGTCTCATCTTCGAGAATGTTCTCCTGGGAGGTCGACAAGACTTCCAGTATCTGATCCTCGATCTCCTTCAGCATTCTAAAGGAACATTCATTGTCTATGAACGTTGACGACGAAAGAAACGTAGACGTACTTCTTGTTGGCGGCTCCTTGAACGATCAGTTGATTCTTTTCGGACTCCAGATCGGGTCTCTCCTTCGCAACTACGATACCTAATAATTGATCCTGTAGACCAATCGGGGTGATCATAAAGTTTAACAGCGTTACTTTCACTGCCACCTCCGGTAGATAGTGAGGATTGCGTAGCTTTGTCGTGATGTAGAATCTGCGGAAAAAGAAATGTGAACTGGGGAACTAAGAATAAGTCCCAAATTATTTACCGAAAGTTTTCAGAGTACTCGATGATGGAATCTCCGATCTTGATGCATACGGTGCCTCCAGCCCTGAATGTCTGCTTCATTAAAAGCGACTCTAAAGCAGCATCGAGCTCTTCGCCAACATTTTCCAAGAGTACCGGCTGTCCAAACTGTACAGCGTTTTCCAGAATTCTCATATAATCCCTCTGAGCTAATCTGATCACGTGGACGTTGTTATTTTTCTCCATATTCTTCACCCACTTGTTGGCCTGTCCTTGAGGATCGATCATCAGCGGCCATCGTCTGGAGTTCGTCACGATTATTCCGTTGTCTACCGAGAAGAGATCAGTGGGCAAGCCGAAGATGTTCCAAGAGCGTATGAGCACGGGGTCACCCAGGACCTGGGTGAGCTGATAGTCCTGGGTACAGAACACGTCGAGATCGGTGCAGATCTGGACCCAGTTCTCGATCTGTTGCTGTCTATATTGCGACGTGAACACTCCCAGATAGGCAACGATTCCAGAACCTATGAGAATGTCCCCGGTCAAGGTGTAATAACGTTCACCCAGCATTTTCGCAGTGTCGGACCATCTGGTGTACTCTCCACCCAGACCTCCAATTAGCTCTTTGGCTCTTCTCAACTTCTCCTCGCAGTCTTTTACTTCGTCGTTCATTGCCTCGTAGTCGGCTCTTCGTTGCTGCAACAGTTCTTCCAGTTTCGCGAGTCTGTCTCTAACCTCTTGTAGCTGTTGTCTTTTCAAGTTCAACTGGTCCATCGCCTGCGAGTAGTCAGCCTCTGCTATGGCCAGGGCCTGCTTCTTGGGCGCCACGATCTTGGCCACTTTGTCGTACTCCGATAACGCGAACACCCATCTGCAGAGACCTTCGCAAGCTGTGGACACGTGTCTGATCCTCTCGGGATCAAAGTTAGGGTTAGTCAAGATGGTATTCCGGATCCTCGTCATGATCCTCTCTGGAATGTTATCCTTGTCGTACGTCAACAAGGACTCTAGGAATTTCATGTCGCTCAACAGACGAAGAGAAGGCCTCCAGTAATCCTCCACGGTTCCCTCCGGAGTCTGCACCCTCTCGGGTCTCACATCCTGACAACATTGTTGATTTTGGCTTTATAATTTGCCTATTCGACAAATAAACGTCCTGTAAATTCGAACCTTTAGTATGCAGACTGCTTCCATGACCAATCGAACACCGGCTGGTGGTCGCTTCATGGATCTCACTATCTGAATATCTTGCGGGGTCAAAGTATTCAAGGCGTCGTTAGCCGCGTTCAGTATAGGCATTACTTCTTGCAAGTCGGCGTCGCATTCTGCTCGAATGGCTTCCGCTTCGTTGGCCACAACCTAAAACGAAAAGTGGCTTTTTATCAATCCCCAGAATCGTTTTATTGCAATAACTTTCTGCCAGTCTTCAAATTTTGAAACAAACTCCTGTATAATATACAAAGTTAATTAACATTAAGGAGACACAGAGTGGAAGAAGCCAAGTGTTCTTCAAGATCCCAGAAACCGCGAAGAAACGTCGAGGATCATCGTACCGGCAACGAGTTCCTAAATAAAATCAAGTGACCGTGATCTTCAGACAGACCACACCTTACCATAGCAGCCTCCTCGTCCAGCTTAACGACTTGCTCCATGGCTGCAACCTCGTCGCTTTCCTTTTGAACGCTGAGCAACATCATCTCCACATCCTTGGCGGCGATAAGGAGTTTCGGTTGCAGAGCGACTAGCATTTCTTGCATTTTCTCCACTTGCTTGTGAGTACTGTCCAACCTCATCAGACCCGCCTCGTACCTCTTTTTTCCTTCGATCGTCGCCTTCCTCTTCTTCGCCAGCAGGTCCTTGAAAGTGTTGATGAGTTCCAGGTACGAGGTGGGCGTAACGTAGTTGTACCTCTTGGTCTTCCTCAGGAACTCCTGCGATAGCTCTTGCGTGGACGTGTGGAAGAACTGACACATCTCGATACACGCTGCTTCCTCTTTCTGCGTCAGGTCGATTTCGCCCAGAAATTTGGTAGCCACAGCGAGCAGAGCGTCTTCGGGCCAAGGATGCAACCAGTCTATCGTACAACAATTCACCAAGGCTGGAAACTTTCGGATTCTGATACGGAAATTGTCACCGATGGGGGACATCGTGACGACCACGTGCAGGTGCTCGCGAACCGTCTGCACGAAGAAGTTGAAGAGAGCCACAGGGCTTCCGTCAGTTTGCAAGGATCTGTCTCTCTGCCGATCTATCACTCGCATCTTCTCGCAAATGTCGGACATCTCGTCAGAGGCGAATATGTTCGGGACCTCCCCGGAATTCAGCAGGTTGCTGATGTCTTCTAGGAATCCCTCCTCCTTAATCTGCGTGTCCAGGAACAGGAAGACGGTGTGCAACTCGCTAGCGGCGCTTTTCCTCAAGATATTCTTCAGGTCGTCGTGCCATTCGTGCGAACCGTACATCTGAGACATTTCTACTTGGAACAACTCGTAGTCGGCTATGTGAGCTGCTAGTCTGGTCAGCGATTGTCTGCCGGAACCTCCGACACCTATCAGCAACGCGTGACTTCGGGGCTGCATGAGTACTCGACAGATCTTCGAGAGGTGCTCTACGGCGAATCTGTAAATGCAAGGTGTAACAACCTTGTACCTGACATACCAAAACAAATTTGCTACCTGAAAAGTACTAAATTCATAGGTGTTCTGGAAATGGAATTATATTCCTCGAGATACTCTTCAGCTACAATAGCCAGGTGATCTAAATCTGCCACCTCTACGTACAGCTTTCTATCCGCTATTGGATCTTGGAAGTCGCAGTAGATTAGATTTCGTAGATCAACGTCCGTCACCTGTAGAATAATTTTTTAGGGATAATGGAAATTTCAGAACATTGAATAGAAAGAACATACAGACGTAGATGCTTCGGTAAGTAAATCCTGAAACATGTGATCCAATTCATCTTCCATGTGCTCCCTCACGGTTTTTCGTATCTGCTCGACTAGCCACGTGATATCGGCGTCGTCTATTAACCGATCCCCGTAGACTCGTAACACTTCGTGCACCCATAATCGCTTCATGCCAACCTTACAAAATAAGTGGGTCTTGTACAGATCAATTTGAGTCGAATAAATAATTTCACAATCACTTGCAAGTTCTTGATCCTCAAAACTCAAACGACGAAAGATTTCTTGCGAGTACGTACAGGTTCAAGAACAGTTTCAGGCATGGACAGCAGCACTCCTTGAATCACCCTCGAGAAATCTCGCAGGTTGAACAAGTAATGGCACTTGGCTGGAGTTGGCAGAAGGTGCTTTCTTGTCTCCTTGTAAATGTCCAGCGTGCCTAGAACAATATAGTCGACGCAAGGTAGAAACAAATCGGGAAACTCATAATGTTCCAAGTGCGAGGACATCAGGGCAGAGAAGATCGTGGTGAGGACGTCGTCGGAGAACTCTGAAATGCCCAGAGTGACGAAGTGCCTTTTAAATCTGGGTGTAACGTCCAGTCCGCTGGCTGGAGGACCCATCGCGCAAACTAACTGAACGTCCACTAAGTGTATGGGCGCGACTTCCCTTAAATCGTACCACGTCCAGTGATCCAGCCACTGTCTTAGCAACTCTATAGGTGGCTGCGCGCCGTATTCTTCCTTCTGAGGCATGGCAAGATCGTCCACGAAGATCACCCAATATTTTCCGGGCGGTGCTCCGTAAAGTCCTTTCCTCCTTCTATCCAACTTGTTCATGATGATATCCTGGGTCTGATTGGCACTGGTTTGCGCTGAGAATATTACGAACAGTGGCTTGTAGGTGTCCGGATCGTTTTTCTTCAGCAGGAAGTCCATCATGTACACGGACTTCCCTGTACCCGTTGGGCCGACCAACAGAACAGGCTTTTGATGACAAATGAGCAACTTAAAGAGGTGCACGTATCGGACAGTCTCGATCGTTGGTACAATGATCTGATTCACTGGTACGTCTTTGGGTATAGGTGGAAGGTCTAGCAGATCCTCTTTCCAAGGCCTCCATTTGCCCCTACCTTCTTTCACGTATTTATAGTCGAACACCAGATCAGTTATAGGTAAACTGACCACGTACGGTTTTGTTGGGTCCGTAGTTTCCTCGGATATCTCGAAACGTTCTCTCGCATCTTCGGGAAATTCCCTCTCGGTCAACGCCCTGAAGAGATCGCTGAACGAATGGCGAGAGTCGGCCGTTAATGTGCCACCCAACGACCAAATACAGGAGAAGAAGAAGCAACCCTGAAACAACGAGAATGTCGATTTCGAGCAACGAAGCGAATAACACGTTTTACCTCTATTTGTGCTCTCATGTCTAAATCCGATAATGTTTGAAGATACTTCTCGTCGTAAAAATCGTCTAGGAAACAGTCGAACAAATACATCAGCGATCTGACCATGTTGGCGTCTGGCATCGTGATCAGTTCCTGAAGGAAGAAAAAGTTTAAACAACGCACTTCAGTCAGGTTACACATCATACCCTCAAGTCGAATCGACGAAGTAAATACAGAAGAGGTGGACAGAATCTCAAATACATTTCGTTCAAATGAATTTTTATGTGTTCGGTAAAGGTGGATGGCAAGGTGTTCAACCAGGAGGTCAAAAGCGGTGTCCAACCCAGACTCACGGGTTCCATGTAAATCATTCCGCACCTAGACACTGTAGCAGGCGATGCAACCTACAAATAAACAGAATGAGCTTCCGTAGTTTCTATCATCCCAATCTTACCTCCAAATCCATAGGTTCGAAAATCAGATTCGTGGTGGGTGCCAACTGTATAATTTCCCCGGAGGTCAGACAAAGCTTTTTATTGTCATCCAACACAGTGTTCATATTCTCGATCCAAAGGGCGTCGACCGGCCCGTCGAATACCAGCCACTTCCTATTCAGGTTGGTGGACGTAGCGAAAGCTCTGTAGCTGACAGCCAGCACGCCGTCGCTCCATTCGTGCGAGGCGGGATCGAACTGACCGTATAATTGGCCCATAGTGATCGCTTTCGGATTGATAACCGTTATCTCGACCCGGCGTTCCTCCATCAGTCCTCGGTCCTCCAGCAAGCCCAGACAACTGGCCAGCATCCTATAAGCGGATGTTTTGCCGCCGAACGGCAGGCCGACGATCATGAAACCGTGTCTAACGATCATCATCTCGTATATCTGTTGAATCTTCTCCAGAAAGAAGTCGGTGCATTGAATGTTAGCCTTGGCACAAGCGTCTCTCGCGCACGCGTTCAGGTGGGTATAATCCGGAGTCGGAAGAACCACGCCAGGGAACAGATCCGAGGCGATGCCCTCGAAAAGTGGCAGATCATGAACGAGGAACTTGGGCAAATTCACGTCCATTATACTCCTCAGCATCAGTATGTCCTCCGATTCGTCGGGGTATCTGAGCTTCAGATTGCCCGCCGCGACCAGGACGGACTTCACCGCCCTCATACCGTAATCGTAATGATGCTGGCTGCTCAACTGCTCCGAGCACAGCCTGTAAGCGGTGACGATCTTCACAGCCAGAGGTCTGCCGTTGTAAAAACCGTACGAGTAAAGCGTATTCTCGGCGATCAACGCGTAATCTGGGACCATCATAGCTACGGGACGGAACAACGCCTTCAGATTGTCCGGTAACTCGGATCTACCCGCGTAACCGGGATTCATGGTGATGAAGATGGCGCAGGTTGGATCAAGGAAGATCTCCGTTCCTTCGAACACCATTTTCTCCGCGCCGCTGTTGATGGCGCGTTGAATAGTCAGTATCTGTTGTGCCACCACCGACAACACTTCCAGATCGATTCGATTGAACTCGTCGAAACAGGACCACGCGCCGCAGGATGCGAGTCCTTTGAAGAATTTGCCCAGAGCCAAATAGTCCAATCCTTCGGAACAATTGAAAACGACGCATTGTTTGGCTACCGCTTTCGCGAGATCCTTCGTCGTTTCCGTTTTGCCAGTTCCGGCCGGGCCTTCCGGTGCGCCGCCGAGGTGCAGGCTCAATGCACCGAACAGGGTTCGATAGCATCGATCAGTCAGGGGAGTGATGACTAACCTCGAAGAATTTCCTAGGTACTCGTAACCGTATCTTTGGCTGGAATTTATCATGTACGCCCACATGTTCTCCTCCTGGAAAACACATTAATAAGCTTGCTGCTAATTTAATTATTTGCAAAAGTAACAATGTCTGACCAGCCAGTAGTAACGCAGATGACACAACCATCTGAAATCGGTGTTCTTAATCACTTCCTGTTTGTAGAGCGAATGCAGGACATCTTTCCCGTGAACATCCAACGTAACCAAGGCTTCTGTAATCAATTAACTATGTTACTTTATCTGTTTTACCTTAAAGTCGATCAAGAACTTATTGATCACCTAATGTAATTCGATTTTGTTTCGATAGTTTGCCCCTGATGAGCAATATAATCTCGTTCAAGTCATTCTGACATTCGTCCAGATATCTTTTTAGTCCTTCCACACCGGATAACATCGACTCCTCTATGCGTAGGGTCCAATAAGTTTTCCCAACGCAAAGGATCGTTTGACCTGGCCATTCCAGTACCCAAATTTTCCTCGGTTTAGTAGGGAACGCAAGTATCGCTTGTTCCACAACGTGTCGCACGCTTTTGCGCATAATTGCTTCCAGTTCGATCAACCACTTCTCTACTTGTCCTCTAGCGGCGGCGGTGGATATCGTGTCCACTAAATCGACCTCTTCGTCCTCTGTCGACCTCATCGCCAACACTTCCAGATCCTCGTTGAACTTCAATCTGTCTATTCCCTCGAAACATTTCTTCAGGTGAGGTTGAACGCTGTAAAGATGAAACCATGCTTGCATCTCTCCCTGTTAGCAAATTCTTAAGAGTATTACCGAGTGGGATCCTTGGTCTCCGATAGGATCTCCAGCAGCTCGTCATTCGACAGGAAAAAGAATCTCGTGAAGAAGAGCCGTTTCTTCTCGAGATAGTCGTTCAATCCCTTCTGTATATCCTCGAGCAAACCGAAACTCTTCTTCAATCGTTCTAACATCTTATCGATTTCGACGACAGCGAGTACACGGGGATCAGCGTAGACAGTCTTCATGATGTCGCGCCAAGTTTTGTCCACGGCCGAGAACTTTCTACCTTCCTCCGGCATTTGTTGCTGGATATCCGGCGACGAGAAGATCGGCTCCAGATACATCCATATCCCTTGCACGCGGAGCCATTGATCCAAAATTTCTTGCAGCAGGTGCAGCTTACCCTCCCATAGCCTGTCCCAGCGTTCAATTAATTTCACCTAATTCTAGCGAGTATACGGAGGTTTATAAAATCATGGAACAACTTATAAGCCTCCGTTCATAATTTAACTTACAGTATCCTCGTCTCGAAGGGTTTTATATTCGGGGAGTTCTTGATGGTAACGGCTTTAATAATGTGATCGTCGAGAAGCAACTGAATATCATCGACCCCCGCAATCACGTAGGTGCCAGTGTCCTTGAAGGGATTTACGGTGAAAGATAAATCAGCCCAGTCCTTCTGCATCTTGTCTATACCCCTCTCCAAGGTACTCTCCTTCGAGGCGTTGTCTGAAATACTCTCGAACTGGCTGACGTACGCGTCCAAGTTCATCTCCAGAACCTTGGCCAGCGTTAAATCTTCGTCGACTTTTATTGGGATGTCGATGATGGCCGAAATTTGTTCCCAATGACGGTCCTTTAATCCTGGATTACCCAGAGTATGAATAATAGGCATACGTTCTCTGAATTCCTCGATCTTTTCCCGGACATTGGATGCCAGATTCTTCAAGTCCGGTTCTTGGAAAAATTTCTCTAATCTGTAGATGGTCCTGTTTGGAAAATTTAATTAGTAATCAACGTCATGAGTTCACATAATATTCTATAACAACCTGTACGCGTATCCAACGTCATTATCGATCTGTTCAGGGCTAAAAGAGCCGATCATCGAATTCATCCACTGATCGTGCTTATTCAAGAAATCGCAAACCGCGTCGAACAGTTGCTTAAAGGGTTTCAACTGATCAGCGATCTCCTTGCGACGAGGGTACTGCGTAATATCCCAACCGAACGCTGCCTCCTCTTCGTTAAACCTGTCGATCTTCTCCATGGCAGCGATCAACCTGTTCTCCAGTATCTGACCTCTCTTCTGATACTTGAACACCTCCGCAATGTCGCCCCAATATTGCATCTCGTCCACTTGCTTGGCATACGATTCCAGTTCCTCCTGGAACCTTTGATACCTCACTGTTGAAAGAAAAGAAATAATTAAGATATATCCGAATTGTCCCTCATCGCATAAATACCCTTCAGCGCGTCCTGAAATTCTATAGTCTTGTTCGCAACGATAGTCTCATTTTCGGCCAAGATGTGAGGCACCTTGTGATACCACTGAAACGCCTCGTTATTAATTTTGATCTCGTGGTCCGTAAGCAGGCGATAATTGGATAACATGATAATGTGTTCGACTATGTCGTAAAGTCGAATCTCCAGATTCTTCAGGGAAACTTCTATGGCGACTCGAATGAAGTCCTTGAGCTCCATCAGGCTGGCTGTGTTGGTGGGTATGCTCAACGCGCGCTCGGATATGGCCTCGTATTCTTCTGAAGCTCTGAATGATTAGAATTACTAATTAATACACAGCTCTACACTGGGTAGGGACACAGTATGTGATCATAAAATGCGTGGTTATAAAACGAGTTGAAGACTCACTTCTTTGCCATGTCCTGGTAATGGTCCACCAGTTTGCTTGTAAGAAGACTCTTAATACGACCTACGTTCTCGACAATAGTTTCGATGAAGACCTTCCGAGACAGTCGGAATAATCCAGTGAACGCTGTTCTTTCGATTTCAACTGGTACATTCATCATAAATTCATGATAATACTTGATCATGTTCTCGTAGTCCTCCAACGTCTTGTTCTCGTCCTTCACGAACCTCTCCATTATCTCATACTCTTGTTCGTTGTAGAAACGTTCGTATCTACGCGTTAAAATTATGGAAATGAAATTTGGAATATTGAAACGTACGATTGATAATTACATTTCTAATTTATGTAATAGCTCCACGGATGTCAACTTCTCTCGCTCGATCAAATCGATAATCTCCTGTTTGAGCTTCTCTACCCGGGGTTGCTCTATCCTCGGCTAAATTTGGAGAATTACAGATATTAAATGGAGGATCGGTATGAAAGAAGAATGAGAGTCTGTGCATTAAAGGTACTTTCAAAAGTTCTTCGGGACTGGACCAATCCAAGTATAGTTGAATCTCTAATTGATCAAACTGCTGAACCGCTTCGCATACGCTGTCCAAAATGCTGCAAAGACCCAGCTTGAATTCCTCGAAGCACGGATTAAACGCGAGCTGTTCGGAACGAACAACTGCGCTGACGTTAAATTCGCATTTGACCGGCTAAAAAAATCGCAAAATTATTCCATGATTCTGTCGAGCTATCTGCAATAGGTAAATTACTTTGCCGTGGAGTAATAAATTCATGAAGTCGCTCAAAGTACGTTTACACGTGAACAAAAGCTGCGATTCCATTATTCTTGCTATACATCCGAAGAATCTTTTAAATCGTGTACGCTGCAGCGGACTGGGAACCAAATTCTTCTTATTGTTCGCGAGAAATATATCTTGTATTCCGCTGTACCAGGAATTCGTCAGGGTCAGTCTTGCTCTTCTGATCTGACGAAGAACGGTGTCCTTGAATTCTATTAGGTCCCAACTGTTCTCGTGTTCAGCGATGTCGTTAAAATTAATCAGTCGAAAGTGGCTGAAAAAACATTCTTGTTACACCCCGAAGAGAAAAAGAACTAAAAAATAAATTTCTCTTACTAAAAATTGCGAACCCATTCGTCCAAGGTCATCGTCATGCATGGATTTATCAAATATAAATTATTTTGCAAAAATTCACGGTATCTGCAAACTTTAGTCGTTAATTGAGGGAAAATACGTTTTATCTCGACTATCTTGCTTCCGGTTAATTCCTGTAAAAATAGAAATATTTGTTATGTTTTACGAGATCGTACGATCTATGAAACATCAGACCTCGTGTAAGTCTTCTTGAAGAGAACTTTTAAGGGCGTGTTCTAATATCGCTTTCTTAATATTCCTAGTAAAATTGTCCTTGATTTCGATCAATAGGCTTTCCGTGCAGTAATTGAAACGGTCAGTCAAACTGTACGGCACTAAATTCAATATCTTCCCTATCACGTCATCTTGAATCTGTACGGTATGGACAGTGTCGACCCCGTCGCAAATGTAATTGTAATATCGATTCACCTCTTGATCGTCAATTAAATCTATATCTGCCTTTGGTAAATTAGGTTTTACGACGAGACTGACTGTGAATCTGTAAATGCAAAAGTATCTCAATTTTTGAATGTCGTATAACTGCCAAAAGGAACAACATGGCTGCCTTTCTATCTAAAAATATTTAAGTAATTCATTTCTCTAACCTACGAAAGTTTTCTGTCTTTAGTCGTTTTCCCGTATAAGTCTCTTGGAGTTTACGTTGCTCCTGTTCTTTAAGCTTCCTCTTGCATCGTGTGCATTGCATTAAATGTGGTGGCAAACAGAACAGTGGCTCGACTTTGTCAGTTACTTTTGGTAGTTTAAAAACACCTTTGGCGCTCTTTTTCCGAGTTACCGGATGTGGAATGCCCTCACACGACGTCACTTCCACGCAATCGCATTCCATTCTGAGATTATTCGTTCTTTTAACTGGTCATCGTGAAAGAGAAATATATGGCTTATGCAAAATTATGTCGTCCGAAAGCGATATTTCCACGCAACTTAAGCTGCAATACTAATGTAAACGACAAATTGCATGACTAAAATAACTTTAGAAACTGATTCGTTTTCTACTACCTTACAATCGAATCTTTTCTAGCCGCAGAAGGCGCCACTTTCGGATCTATACTGTAATGGTTGAATATTACATTTCGACGTTTAAATCCTGTTTACAGTAAGTAGATTGATAAACGATGGTTCTTTGAATGCAGAAGTCTTTCTGACATTAAAAAGTATTTTGCACTGTTTTAAAATGTTTTCGAAATATTTCTGTTCATGTAGGAGTATTAGCTTGCGAATAGACTAACATCCGTGATTGCAATTGACTGCAGTTTCCAGGCAACGAAATTTATCGATTTCCACAAGATTCACACGATTTTTTAATGAAAAATTTCTTTTAAAACTACGCTACTGTAATTCCATTGCCTTAAACTTAACTTTTCAGTCAATATAATATTTAAACATTTCTAGGTTAGGTTCTATGGATGTAAAACTCTGATCTTTTTTATGCAAAGTAACAAATGGTGTGTTTCAGATGATTTCACGTCAGCTATTTCGGTGTATACATACAAATTATTTGCTGTGTTACGCATCAAAAAAGACATTACTGAGCAAATTACGCAAGAAAACAGGCTATACCTTCACCAACTGCAAGAAGGCATTAGAACTACATGACAATGATATTCAAAAAGTAAGAAACTCATTGACGTACAATGTTCACAAATGGTTGCTAATTACTTTTTAACATTATAGGCAGAGGACTGGTTAAATGAACAAGCTCAGAATCATGGTTGGGCACAAGCAACTAAATTGCAGTCCAGAATAACTTCCCAAGGACTAATAGCAATGATTACTAATGAAAGTTATGGAGCACTTGTGGAAATAAATTGTGAGACAGATTTTGTTGCAAGAAATAAAAGATTCCATGAGCTAGCAGAGACTGTTCTTGCTACCGTATTGAAAGAAGGAATATCGATAGAACAGACCTCTCTTGTGAATAGAACTATGTTATATCCAGACACTATAAATGATTTAGTTGCAAACGATGGTAAGAGTTTGAGTGACCATTCTGCTTTGGCCATTGGAAACGTGGGAGAAAATATTAATATACGTCGTGCTATATGCATGAGTGTTCAACAAGGCGTGCATTTATACGGTTGTACTCATCCTGCTCCCTTGAATCCTGTACCATCATCTTTTGGACGATATGGGGCATTGGTGGCCTTAAAGTCTAATAAAAAGAATGAGGTTTTGGGAATGCAACTTTGCCAACATGTTATCGGTAAATTCAACATTCAGATTTGTTTGGTGTACATTGAGTTATTATAAAAATATTTACTAACAATATATGTTTTATATTAGGCATGAATCCAATCAAGATTGGGGATATATCGGTTGATAGACCTAATGATGATGCGAACAGTGAAAATATTATGCTGTTCCAAGAATTTTTGCTCGATCCAACTTTATCTGTTCAGCAATTATTACAGAATGAACAAGTTGAAATTTTGGATTTCGCACGATTTGAAATGGGTGAAGAACTCGATAACAAAGAGTCATTGGATTCTGTAGAAATTTGTGGTTAACACAAAGAATAAATCTACTACGCTTCGATTTTGTACATATGTGAAACAAATGTACTGTTGCTTCTTCATGGTAAAAAATATACAAGCATTTTACTTATTCGTTACTTCAATATATATAATATACTAAAATGATAGCATCTCTTTATTCTGTATAATTCGAGAATTAATATAAGTACAATGTAATATGAAAACTAAAGTATCTTAAGAATAAGCTTTACTCGTCATTAAATGATGCATATAAATCGTATCAAAAACTAAAATCAGTTTCAATCGGTAACAATGATATAAATGCAAATTATTGCTTTTCTTCGTTTTCATTATCTATCGTACACATATTATTTGTGGACTCAGATTTGTTTGTTTTTCGCCTGAGTCTCACTGATTTCCAAAGCCACATTCTCGAGTCTTTTTTCCAATAAGGCGCAATATCTTCTGGCGAATGCACAACACCCTAAAGTATCCAAAATTGGTCAGCAATGATTTCTATTATTTATAAAAGTAAATCGTACTTGAAAGTTTAGAATATTAGAATTTTGAAGAGTTTTTCGACAGGGCAACACGTCTTTAAGATTTAAACCAATTAGATCTTGTTTCACGTCCTCCGATGGTTCAGTCTGTGCGTCGCTGGTTCTTCGAATCGGTGTTGCATCTTTTCTATATTCAATTTCTGCCTCTAGTTCCAAGCGTTCAAGAGCCGACGTGAAACTTCTCGATTCCTTGCAGTTGCCAAAGTTTGCCTGTGTTTAAAATTCGCTGTTGCGCAAACGACATAATTGTACAGGTGAAAAAAGACAACGTCAACAACTGTTAAACCTGCACTCCCTGAGAACAAACATTGCATCCAAGTATTCCAGACAGACATACATCGCTCATTGTCTTCGACAAGATATTCTTTTCGTCCCATGTAAAATTCTCGACTAACCGCAAGAGGAAACATGGCATTGAATATCGAAAAAACATGAAGATACATATGTAAGATAAAAAAAACAAACCACTGGAATGGTCAGACTCATCGTTTCTCCAATCCATCAGTTTCATCTGCTACGCCATATAAAAGGAAATCAAAATATGTCTTGTGTTTGTAAAAATTAACTGACAGATTCCATTTCGGTTGCAAAACAACGCTTCAGCAACGTTGTAATAAACGAGCGACTGTCGTAATTGTTCAAGCATTTCTACAGGGTGAACCAGCAATTATCAAAGATATTTTTATAATCATAAGATATTTAATTTGTATAATCTTTTTTGGCAACTTTTTTTATTATTTCTAATGTGCTGAACACTTATGTGTTTTTTAAATATATGCAAAGTTTATGTTTAAGGTACTTATGTTCAATAAAATATTTGTCTTACCCTTATTTGATTTTAAGATTTATTTGTGTAAGTAACAAAGAACCCTTTCTTCATTAGCATTTCTTAATTTTCAGTCACATTCTTAAATATTTTTAAAAATTAAAACTGCGCGCGCTCTCTGTGGAAAACAATACCACAATGTCATCTGGCAGCCAAGTACAAAAATAAAGAAGCAAGGAAATTTGTTGTTACTATTTATTAAAATAAAACTGTAAGTTCTTAAACATTCACAATAAATTACGTTCGATTGCTTAAAAATAATATAAATATTAAATATACCTAAACAGTACCAAAAAATTGGCGACCATCTAGCATATAAGGAAAATAAAAAATGAATATTTCGGCACTTTGACGACGTAGAATCGTTCCTGAGGCATTTAGAAACAAATTTCTATTAGGGTTTGAGGCGTTTTGATGCCTAATAACGCCAGAAAATCAATTTTTGTAGAATTCGGTCCAAAACGGTACAGGTGGCGCCATCTAGCGGCGAGCGGCGGAACTACGAAAAACTAAAATTTCGATTTTCTCGAAAACTAGGCACTTTTCCGAAATTCTGAGATATACAAATTGTTCCCTATCTCCTACGGAATCGAATGAGTAGTTTCATAGCCCTCTAGGACCCTTATTAAAGAAATTAGAAAAATAGCCCATTTCATGGACCTAAAAATTGGCGTCCATCTAGCGGTGAAAGTTGGAACTACAAAAATAGAAAATCTCGATTTTCTCGAAAACTAGGGACTTTTCCGAAATTCTGAAATATACAAATTGTTCCTTATAGCCTACGGAATCGAATGAGTACTTCCATAGCCCTCTAGGACCGTTATTAAGGAAAACTCTAGGACCGTTAT